GAACTAGTGTTAATCGAAGTCTAATACCAATACCTGCTACAGTTGCATATTCCAATATGTAGGACGTGTCCAGAAGTGAAGCATCTAACAGCCATATAATGATAATAATAATAATAATAATAATAATTTGCTTTATTCCAAAACAGTACATGTGATACAGAATGGAATTCTCAGCATTTTTACTACAGTATTGCATCCAGTTAGTACATTATCAATAAATAGAATTCTACATAGATTAAGGAAATCACAGTTCATTATTACACCAACACATTGGCATGTCGATAGCAAAGCCAAAGTTGAACAGTGTTTGAAGGTGTTAGAAAAGTGGGAGCTGTCATATTAACTGGCGTAAGCGAGAGAAAGAAACAAAGCAGCACATAACGGAAAGAAGAGAGAGAGAGAAAAGGGAAAGAAAGAAAGAAAATGTTGTACCTATAAATGATATGAGTTGGAAAGACGAGATCCAGTTGTACTACTGACTATTTAATGAGTTATAGGTGTCACGCCTAATGCTTTCTTTATCACACAGAACACGAGCTAAGTAGGGTATGGTTGAGTTTTTGTACTTGCTGGTTCGAGCATATAGTTTTCTATGTAGGCTTCTGGTTTTGCCTGATGAGATGCAAGGGGAGAGTTGTGAGTGAAGAGGGTGGTGTGAGTTAGATAAAATGGATTTGGCCCATTTTTCACATGAGTCCATATGCCTGTCAACCAGAATATTAACAAGCTGGTTAAGTGGCACGTTGCTTACCCTACTGACAACCTTTAACATCCTGCGTAATATGTTATAGTGTTTCTTCAGTAGCCCTGGAAAAACTAAGGGGGAACAATAGAGAATAATAGGAACAAATGCGAGAGTTAACGAATTGTAGGAGTTAGGGTTGGGTTATACCAGAATGTTTTAACTTCTTAATGTAGAAGGTAAGACGGAATATTTTCTTAGAAATCGCTAAGATATGAGACTACCAGGAGAGATCAGCAGGTAGAATGACGCCTAGGTATTTAATTTCCTATTTGGTTTCTATTTCAGTGCCGTCTATGTTGCATATCTCGTGAGAGCCAACCAGTTTGTTTAGGTCGGATTTGTGCCTAAAGGTGAAATTGACTGTTTGGCATTTGAAGGGGTTTAGGGTAAGACCGTTTTCCTTGGACCACTGGCTGATTTCTGAGAGAAAGCCAATAAGTTTAGAGCAGTCGCTTTTCAACGTATGCCACTTCTACACAAAAGTATGGCATGCTAGTTATTCTGAGTAGAATAACAGATGGACACATAGAAGTAAAAGAAATAGACAAGCAGAACTGTACACACGGTTTATTAATATTCACTTGATATTGTGATGAGAGCTGTCTGCAAGCCAAAATTGTAGACAAAAATTTACGTCAATGGCTATGTCCCGAATCGGGGTCATGAGAAAAAACAATAACAAAGCTTAACCTTGAGGAACTCACCAGCCAATCATAGCAGATTTAACGTATGCAAATACGGTTAGCAGATATATGGCTTGACTTTCTAAGAAACAGCCACAAAGAGATGACAGAATAACCTTCAGCAAGAAAACAACCAACCAGAGGACGTTGCTTCTCTGCTAACAATAACGAATAATAATGTACATAAAAATCTATATAGATGTTGCGAACCTGACTGAGGGAATTCAGTCTGCACCAAAGAGAGGACTCGACTCGTCATACTAGTTACTAGTGTCTTATCAAAATACCCACTACAGTCCTACAGGAGGTCAGTCACGAGCCCGAATAACCCAGTGGTAACGTCTCTGACTGCAGCACTGGGTGATGCGGGTTCGAATCTCAGAAGGGACATGAGTCCCTTCACGGCTGCAGATACGCCTTGCTGACTGAAGAGTTCCAACTAGCACGAAACCTAGATCCGGCAAGGCTTCCTGTCCGCCGATTGCCTCCAACCTAATGACAGTAAACGATCTGTTGCCTGGCCCTTGTCTTCTGTCGTTACAATATCACCTAGTTATTTCTGGATAATCCGAATCCATAATTCATTAAAATCACTACTCGATGGGCGATTAAGCGAAATACACTAGGTTTTCTTTGATATATACCTTAGTGATATTGAGAATCAATGTTTGGAGACCCTTGATATAATTCAAAATTGTTCAAATATGTAGTTATTCTTTGCTATTTACGAACAAATTTCACTTTTATTTGTCTATGTATTCCTGCCGTCTTATTCTCATCTGACATTCTGAAATGGTTCAATTTGTTTTATACATTGGTCCGTCTTTTATATTAGGCTCTCAAAATTGACTCTATTCCCTTACACTTCTATTGTGGTAAACTACGGTGTATCTCGCCAACCATGCTTCACATGGTTCGGGGTTCGGTTCGATCCCCGGCTGACGCACTTCTAAACCTTGCTTAGCCAGTAGTAAGTTCGGTAAGGAGGGTAGTTTCCGTGTGAGGCTAGCAACCCCACCCCGTAAAAAAGCGAAACCATGGCTACTGCAGCTTCGAAGCTCAAGCTTAAAGCCTAATGTCCTACTCGGAATGTGTAAAGGGATGGATAATGTATCTTACCAAATGACTATTGCACTTCTCTTTAGATCTGCTGGATTTATTGTCTTACAGTAACTTTTATGATTATTACTCTTGAGTATCCTTATTTTTTCTCTATCGCGTTTTATTCTTCTGTTGTAATGAAGATTTCTTTAATTCAGTGGATGTTTTTATTTGCCTGAACTCAGTTACCCGGCACGTCTTTTACACACACACACACGCACATACATTCATGCACACACACATATTTTACCGAGGATTGATAACACTACCCAGCTCTCTAGGCAGGTTAAAGTGAATGGAGCGGGATTCGAACCCAAGACTAATTGGCTGAGTGTTGAGTGCTGAAAACAATGAGTTATATTTTTACTGTGTTCTGTTTTTTTACCTCCGTTTTTATTGATGAACACTGATATATTCAAACAAATTGGATTTGATGGTCGCCTCAGTCATTGTTGTTGATATTCATCAACTTAAGTGGGAATGTGTCGTTTATCATACAATCTGTCTTATTTGGTGGATGGTGACTAGCATTAGAATCCAGGATGCTCATTTCGTCCTATTTGGGACTCATAATCTGGATCTACGTGAATGATGGTGTTCCTAATGGGACTCGAACCCAGTGCTCATAGTTTCAAGCGCCAAAGTATTATCCAGTAGGCTACTTGGGCGACTAGAGACACCTCTTGCGCAACTGAGATCAGTTGTTATGTAATTCAATTTGGACTTTCCCGTTGGAGCTTCAGTGGAGACAGCACCACTCCACGGGGGGGGGGGGAATGCAGGTAAATCCAGCTGACGAATCTGGGACAGGAAGAAACGTTCATCCTGGACTTTACTACTAGTCACTATTCACCAATTTAATTCGAGTTAAATAATCAAACATCGTCGAAGCATCTGCACAAGGAGCCAAGAATATCAACCTGAGGATGAGCACTTCAGTCCAATCAATCAATCAATCGGAAAGTCCAAATTGAATTAAATTTGTGTCATCGTCCATCTCAGAGTAGTATGTTATTTTTATAGTATACTTTAAGCTAAATAACTTGTCAATGGCAAAGTCTCGATGTTAACTGATTTTTATTAGCTAAGGACTTGCAGTAGCAGTAGTGGCAATTGGTTTGCTCGCAGTGATAGAAATCACCATTATTGATAAAATACAACTTAATTAAAGCAAATTAGCGTAAAAACATATGCATGCATATATTACTAGCTGTACGCTAATTTATTCCCGTTGTTTACCAATACTAACTAAACTTTGTTCTGTCATAAAATCTAGCACAAACGTTTATCAGCTCAAAGTGTCTCATTTCGCTACAGTAGAGAATACCTATTGAATAGAAGTAAAAACAAAGTAGAAAAGGAAAATAAATCAAATAATGAGAGTAGATGAGATGTCCAGAACCTCTACAATAAGTAGCATATACATCTACAGCACTGTAATCTTCGAGTACCATTGATAATTTGGTCGCAACTTCTCAAACACCACAACCAGACAGTTCAGATAACTTGAGACGCTAATCAGTGATTTTACAAGTTGATAGCAGTGTCTTTATATTGGATAATGTGGGAGTTTTTTGATGTAGTCTTATTAAAGTTGCAGTGCCACTCATACAACATGTTACGTACTTACCTTCGAGCTTTGTGTAAACTAGTCAGCATTCGTATCATGGTGTTTTAGCGCTTTGTGTATCATTCCATTGTGGGTAAAAATTATTTGGATAAAGTCTCACAGTGTTATGCAGTAATATTTACTGATTTGACCACGTTTCGAGCACAACTGATTATCGCTCATAATCATATCAAGGCACTACTCACACAACTTTCTAACTTTGTTTATATAATTCCATTATTTTCCATCGCTTGATTTGATTGGTAGTAGTATTTTCCATATTTCCGGTATGAGTGATGAGTCGCTTCTATTGCATGTGTTGGGTGTAGATTCGATGAACAAGGATTCAGTAATCAACCACCTCTCTCTCCACCTACCTATACTACTCTTTAGAATTTTGACTCTGTCCCACCCTAATGTGTGGTTGTGTTTTAATGCATTCAGTGCGATTGCTGAGGTCTTTTCTAGACTACTTATCTTCGCGGGGTCAATCATTCTAACCTTAGCCACTAAATTCTTATGTTCTGACAATAGCACTACTCCCGATCTACTAGTTCGGCCTTTGTAGTTGACTAATTTAACTCACAGTCATTTTAAGGTATTTTGTAAATTGTATTATTGGGTCAACTGGGTCCTTTAACCTACAGAACTTGTCCTGTCTGAGTGAGTTTGAAGGTTTAATTGTCGTTCTAATTCCTGCTTTATTAAGAATACTACGTAGGGTCTCAGATGTCTCCTCCTTATATAGTAGAACTGTAGATGCCTTATATTCTCTCTTATTTATGTTATCATTACTATTTTCCCCATTATTTTTTATTAGTTCTATATACCATCTTTTCCACTCTCATCACTAATATTTCAGCGGTCAAAAACATCAAATGACAGTGAAGATAATGAAAAGCCAGTTGCATTTCAACCACCTGCTGCAATATCATCCAAAGAAACAAATGATGTAGGTTATGTGTTTTATAGTTTTTTTTCTAATTATTTGCACATATTATTAAAAGTAATTACTGTATAAGAATGGAGTGGTGCCTTTCATAAGATGCCTCTGAGCAAATAAATGAAGATTATATTGAAATGGTTTGAGGTAGTTTACAGGGAACACTGCTGGACCTAGGTTTCGCACTGGTTGGCACTCACCAGTTGGCAAGGTACATCTAGATCCTTGAAGGAAGTTATGCCCCCTTTGAGGTTGGAACCCTCATCAACCAGTGCTACAGTAAGAAACGTTACTGCTGAACTATTTGGGCTCACAATTGACCTCCTGTACGACTGAAACGGATACGTGGACCGCTCATTATAGCTTAACAATCATTTTCAGACGTCTAGTCGTCGGTGTTGGTGAAGACTTAATTCTATCAGGCCAGTCATCTAATATCAATTCATAGTGTGCACCACGTTGGCCAGTCACTTATCTCAGTGACTACATTACAACCTTGACTGATAGAATTCCAACACAGAGGACTAGATGCATGATGGTGGTTAATCTCTAGTGATTAGACAATGTGAATGAAGACCAATTTGGGAAATATTCAAATCTACACTTTTCCCTGTTTATTAAAAAATTATAATTTGACTTAGTTTGGTTGTATTTAAAGGGGAATGAACTGCTATTGAAAAACCACTTGCACCTAACAACAAGTCTCGCCTTTAGCATGAAGCCTGGTGATACAGCAATCTAAGCGTATAAATGCCAGTATGTGCGGATCGATTTTTTGAAAATGCCACTTAGTGATGAAAATTTGAGTTAATTAGTGAATTCATGTATAATCCCCATCCAGGCATTAATGAAAACGAAACACGTAGATCAGCGAAGAGTCTCTTTTCGGCGGAGAATTCATTTTCTTAGCTGTGCAATCGCAAATATATATATGAGTTATTTTGTATGGATGTATACATTAAGTTTGTTAAACAAAAAACAACAAACAAAAAAATACAATTGGTTATAGTCATTTTAACTAAACAGGTGAAGATTGGTAATTGGAGTTACGTAATACAAAATCAGTCAAGAAAATTAGGTTTTATTGAAATTAGGGTAGTAACAAAGGTGATGAGTTGCCACAAAGAGTTGTTAAAAAAGAAGTTATGTAATAATATGAAGACATTGGCTAGGGGTCGCACTATGTCGTGAATTGGTAGAAGTTAGAATTCATGAGCCATTGGATCGGGTCCCAGTGGCTTAATGGTATACGAGCTCGCCTTGTAACCAGAAGGTCCTGTGTTCGAATCCCGGTGGGTGCGTACTGATGAAGAGTCCCAAACTAGAACAAAACAACTGTCCAGTACTCCCAGGTTTTCCAATGGTTCTCTAACTAATTTCAGCTCATGATGAAATCTTGTAACCAATCAAATCCCTACAAACCATTATTTGAATAATGTGAATGGTTTGATGAGTGAGTTTTACTCAGGATGCACATAGGAACAAAGTAGATGATACGAAATTACGTAAGAGTTCTAAATGAATACAAGAACTGTAAGCAATTAAAGAACATGCCAAGAAACAAAATTAAGTCATCAAAAAAGATCAAATCAAATCAAAAAACGTTGTTACCAAGACAGTAGAAGTGGTTGAGTAATCCTCTTTTGTATGCACAGCTCCGGTTTTTCTATGTGAATGGCCACAGCTTCAGCAATAGAAAGAAGATGAAACCGTATCGCCTTTGATAGGTTGTTCTTGACTCTGTAGATTTAGATTTAAAGGAGGCGTTTGTTGAAACGGAATGATCAGTGTTAACCAGGTGTTCAGTTTTCCCACTCCTTATTGCACCACTATTGCCTCTGTGCAACCATGCTGGATAATGTTCTTGAATCCTCTTGGACAGAGTGCGCGTCAAACAACTGATGTACCTGGCTCCGCATCAGCAGGTGAACTGATATATGCCCTATGTATATATATATATGCATATATCTACAAATAACACATATATGTTTGCGATTGTACAGCTAAGAAAATGAATTCGCCGAAAAGAGACTCTTCGCTGATCTACGTGTTTCATTAATTAGTGAAAACAAAACCGTGTAGTCCAACGAAGAGGCTCATTTCGGTGAATTCATTTTATTTAGCCGAACAATCACATTTATATACACTATTTTCTTTTCTCCTTGAAACAGAATAGTAACTGAAGTGATGAGTTGTCACATAGTTTTTAATGTTGATCAATACATAGAAGAAGTCGAATAAGTCAGTGTATTAGAGTTGAAGAAGATCAAATGGCCCGAAAGAGTTAGTAGCAAGAAACTATGCCCGGGAACAGACCAACCAAAAATCGATCGCCCAACAAATATGTAGGAGAAAATGGATATGGACCGGGCATACATTGAGGAAACCGTCGTATGACATCACGCGCCAGGCCATTGCTTGAGTGGAATCCCAGTGAGAAGTGACGAGTGGGTTGTCAGTGTGGGGGTGACTTGGAGGAGATTGTGTGTTTGCTGAGGAAGGGATGAGAGATTATGAGCAATTATGAGGACCCAGCTGAAGAAGACAGCAGAGAATATAACAAAGTGGAGATGTGTTGTTGAAGCGCCATGCTCTCCTCGGAACCCAAGGGTACAATAATAATAATAATAAGATAGAAAATCTAGTGACTGATGAGTTGTACTCATTATGCACATAGAGACGAAGGAAAATATAGAATTATGTAATAGTTATAAAAAAATACAAGAGTTAGAAAAACAAACAAATACACAAACAAGAATCATTTCAGCAGAAATCAACCAGGTTGTTACCATGATAGCGGAAATGGCTGAGTAATTTCCTTTTTATATGCATATCTCCGGTTTTTCTAATCGAGATGACTAAGGCTCCAACAATGCAAACATTCATCGACCAGTTGTCCTTTTATATTAACCTGTTTTTATATTTTTCTCATTTATATACACAGAACTCCACTGATCCGCCTAATCCAACTCGAGATCCACATGTTATACAAGAATTAATCAATAGTGTTGACAGTGTCTATTATTCATTGGCATTTGACTCTGGAAAGTATGAAATTGAAGTAAGTTTTAGCATATTTGCATGTATTTAAAAAAAACCTTTCTTCTTCTCCAGTGTAGATTTATCACAAATCAACATCATTTAGAGAATTGTTGAAGACCAGGAGAGCAGTGAACAACTGTTTCGTCCCATATTTGAAGTCCTGGTTAGGCCGTACGAGTGGCCTCACTTGGAAACTTCAATTGATGAGGCCAGCTTCTTAACTATTCAATAACTTCGGCCAATTCTGTCGATTAACGTCGACTTAACCTTGAATTAACGTCGTAAACCGAAGGTCTGGGTTTCAGTTCATCGTGTGGTTATCGTTGTGCGCTGATGAAGAGCCTCTAACTAGGACGAAACAACTGTTCAGTGCACCCTGATTTTTCATGATTCTCTAACTCATGTTGGTTTGTGACAAAATTCCGCATTGAAATTAGTTCAAAGCACTACAAAACCGATAATCTAAGTATTTTTTTGTGTGTTTTGAAAGACTGTGGTAAAGGTTGAGTGCGACTGGGATCGTTTTCAATGAATACACAAATTTCAAATTCACAATCTCCAAAATGGTTATCAGTTTGCACTATATACATATACAGTTCGAATGGTGAAATTTCACTGTAGTTTACTTTGGAAATCAAATAATTCTGATCACAATACATGTGATCTGCTTGATATCATAGATGGCAGTCACGAAAGCAAGCAAAGTTGCCTAAGATTATGTACTACTGATTGATTGGGGTGAGTAGTTGCCTACCATTCCTACCAACCAAAAGTGCTTGCTAGCCAGCCATATCGAAGTGACCCAAATACCTGACGGCCGTTTCGCTCGTTTGGGGACGAGGTCATCAGGTGTGTATCCGGTTTGAAACAAACCGATTTCTGCCTGGCTATAGATAAATTTTGCAGCCGTAATTCCCTCACCCTGTCATCAAGCAGCTGAAAATGGTGGAATATGCTGTCGTTTACATGCACAGCTGGGAATCGAAACACTCTCTACCATGTATTGATCAAATGCTGGTTTGTATGCGTTTTTGAATGATCTCAAATAAGATTTTATGACGTACCTGTGCATCAGTTAGGCAATTATAGAAAACTAGGAGGTATTGGTCATCTGTTTCGTTTTAATTCAAGACTCCTGAACAGTTGGCACTCAACACCTCGTCTAGGATGGAACCAAGAACTTTGAGGTAATGAACAGAACACATTATCATTCAGCAACTAGGACGGAATCCAGTAGTTCTTGAGTCCTAGCCACTGGCGATTCGCGACGTATAACACACCACTAAAGAGTCCTAAACCAGGACGAAACAGCTGTCCAGTAAGTACTGCCTGTCTTTGAATATCTCTCTAACTGATGTCGGTTAGTGATCAAAATGTAACTTGATATTGTATAGAAGTTGTAAACCATGAGTGTGTGTTTGTGAAGTATAAATATATTTGATGTTGTTGAAACTAAGTAAACAAAAAGCGGTATATACCAAGGTGAGTAAATTATCGTCCACAAGTAAGAAATAATTATTATGTGCGAAGCTAATCAATTCTGATTTTCACCTCTGTTTGTGCTTGTAAACTTCGGACATTCTTTGAGATGTTGTTTTTGGAGATTTTGATGAAAACTATTGTAACTGCCGAGTACAGTAATATTTATTAGAGGGATTGTTGATTTATTTGACAAAATGATGTACAGTCATGACAAATTACATAAATCGTAAATTGAGATTTTAATTTGTAAAATTGATTCCTATTCTGCTTCTTCAGTCTTCGTTTAATCCCTTCCGTATTCTTTCAAAAGTCTCTCGCACTTCTATTCTTCTCAAGTTAATCCGTCATTCCGCTGTTCAAGATTCCTGTAGAATATATCGCATACAATGTTATTGTCGTTATTGTTCCCTCGGGTTCCTAGTGGAACTTAGGGCTTCAACTGCACATCTGCCCTTTCTCCTATTCTCTGCGGTCCTATTCATCTGGCTCCACGTTTGCTTAAAGTCTCTTAGCTCCTCCTCCCCAAAAGACCTACTCCATGTTACCTTCGGGCGGCCAATTCGTCATTTCGACCCTTCAATATGGAGTGAAGGCGGCTAATGGCATATTACATCATTGGTGATAATAAGCACCCTTGTCTTACTCCTGTGTTTGCTCCAAACGCCTCGCTGAGTTTTCCGTTGTGGATCACTTGACATGTGCCGTTGTCGTACAGCTGTTGAATAAGGTTGATGAATATTCGGGGTACGCCGTAGTACTCGAGTAGTTTCCAAATTACTTCGTGGTCAATGCTGTCGCAGGCCTTCTCAAAGTCTATGAAGTTGAGGTAGAGGTTTGATTGCCATTCCATGCTTTGTTCGATGATGATGCGTAGAGTTGCAATTTGGTCAGAACATGATTTGCCCTTCCTGAATCCAGCTTGTTCTGGTCGGAGTTCTGTATCCAGTGCGTCCTTTATTCTCTCCAGGATGATGCGACTCAGGATTTTACTTGGCGTTGACAGGAGCATGATTCCTCGCCAGTTCTTGCAGAGTCCTAGGTCGTCCTTCTTTGGTAGTTTCATGAGGTAACCTTTCCTCCAATCAGTAGGCACCTTTCCCTCTTTCCAGATCTTTTGCAATAATGGAGTCAGCATATCTGCTGTCGTCTCTGGGTCCGCTTTCAGTGCTTCCGGGGGTATTCCATCTGGTCCAGATGCTTTTCCAGCTTTCAGAAGCTTGATTGCATTCAAGACTTCAGCTTTCGTTGGAGGATTATGCCATGTTAGAATTCTTTTATCATTAACCCTACACTCTGCATGATGGAACTATTGACCGGTCTGCATTAGCTATGCTAAAACGTTAGGCATCCGTTTTGGACGAAACTTTTTCTTCATAAAGCTTCTGTAACTATTTCTAGGTGGAGTGTGTAGTCATATCGTGCTGCTGCAGAGTACAAGAAGAAGTAAACTGTTTAAAAGCACTCTAAAAGCGGCCCAACCAGTTAATGTATAACGGGCTGTGTGGCTAAGACTTGGCAGTTAGCTCCTTTATCGATTGACATCCCATTTTGCTCAAAACACTCCTTACTCCTTCCTAATTTTGTGATACTTTAGCTAAGATAACTCGGTCAGAAAGTGAGTAGATTTCTTTGCATCATGCATTCCAGCGACCTGAATCGATGAAGCTTCACAATCTCATTGTATCAGTTTTAATGAGCTGTTGGAAGTCAACGTAAACTGAACGGATACTTCTTTGTTCGTTTTAACTCTTCACTTATGCGTATAACTGTCTCAGTACGCATAGCGCGTAAAACAAATACGGATTTCATAAGAAGCCTCGAAAATGCCAACTAACGAGACTGACATTTTCCAACTTTCTTCAGTCCGCGATGGTAGATTATGACAGTCGATATTGAGGTATTTCTTTTAAGTGATGCTTGTAATGAACTTCAGGTCTAAATCGTCTGAACAGCTGGTAATCCACGGGAAATCAATACCTCACTTTGCCTATAAACTCCCATCACCACTATAACAACAATCGGCTGACCTATCATTTTTTAGCTGGCCTTTAACCGACTTAGTTTAGTGCATTTTCGACCAACTCTAGAAGGGTTGAAAAATGAGGTATAACAATTTTTGTTTTCGTGGTTAATCAATATGTATTGATTAATTTTGTTTTTATTGATCCCATTTTGAAATATTTGTTGTTTCTTTGATTGTACTTCTTAGAATAGTAACTAATATGTATATTGACTTTTATGTCGATGAAATCCGCATAAAGATTCACAATACAATTCGATAATATTGTAAATTTGTGAACAATTGGTTAAATATATACACTAAATTTGAATTGAAGATTTTATGTAGTGTAGTTTTTTGTGGGGAGTAACTAATTTTTCAGATTATTTTCGAATTACATATTGTAAAATGCATTATGCAGACATAGTTTATTGGCTTAAGCACACTGGAATTTGAGCCGCCTGGGTCTTTGGTTTCGAAACCCACTCCATCCACTTCAACGTGGCTGGGAAGCTGGGTAGTAGCAGCAGCCCTCATCACACATTAAGTGCGACGTATAGCTTGTAACGCATCGGTGGTTCAGCGGTAGCATGCTCGCCAAACACGGAGGTGGTCCTGAGTTCGATCCCCGGCCGACGCACTCCTAAACCTCACGAAGCCGGTAGTAAGGCTAGCAAAGAGGGAAGGCTGAACGCGAGAGTAGCAATCCCATCCCGTAAAAACAAAACCACTGCTATCGAGGCTTTCAAACTCTAGCTTGAAGCCTGGAACATGAAAATTCTCTTCTGGGAACTGAGAACTTACAAAAGTATAGTTTTCTAAAATAGTCAGCAGTGTGCTTACGGAAGACCAACTGTCCATACCAGTTGGTAACAAAATACACAGGAAATTACTGGCAGACCGGGGAAAATAATAAATTACGTAATCTAAAAGCAGCAATTGGTGAGTGGCGCTCAGAAATGATCACTCTTAAAACTAAAAGAGCTTGGAAACATGAACACTTTAAAAAAAGTGATTCAGAATGTTTGTAAAGTATATTTTAAATTTAGGAGTTTGAAAGAAAACAATGATCAGCGGGAAAAGCTCGAATGAATATGAAATTGCATACCAAATTATTGTATCAGTTAAGAAAAACAAGAGGAGTTTAAAGCCATGGTAGTAAAAGGGATTGGACAAACCGCTTCAGTAGGCACAGTTTGGAGTTTTTTTTGTGTGTAGCAAAAGCTTCTGCTCTGAAGTGAAGATACATCTGGAAAGCTGGTGGACGATTTAGTCTTACTGTGTACATCACTTTGAGAGATTTTTCTAATGACGCGGAACGATTTGTAAGAACAAGTTATTCAAGAATTGAACTATTTGTATAATAGAGTCAGTAATACTGAGGTCAGGTGTCGAGTGCTATGTAAGGTTATGAAGCTACACCGATTAAGATGGATAGGACGCATGTGTTGCTCATACCTAGTCATAGCCTTCCTCGACGAGGAATGTTAGCTGATATAGGACCAGGCTGAAGAAGAGCTGGTGGTGGTCAGACCAAAACTTGGAATTATCACCCCATGAAATCTTTAGCAGTTATTTTGAGTCATCTAGGATTATTGGTTGGGGTCTTTGGGATTCTAAGTTCCAGCGACTGGAGGCAGTTGTTGAAAGCCGTCATTTTGGGCGATATTTTGTAGATTGCGAAGATATTTGTCTCAAAAAAGGGATGTACACAGTATTTTGGAAGGTGGGGAATGCCATTTTTGTTAGCTTTTAACAAAAAACGTCGTTTTAGGCGTCTTGACAGTATCCTACTTGTACAGCCGCCAAGTACTACTTAGCTCCACAGGAGTAAGTGAATCCATATATACATGTGTATGCTGCCAGCAGTGGAATATTGTCTTTGACGTTTTGATAAGTAAGATATTGCATGGAGAAGGTGAGATGTCAAGATACGACTAAGAACGTTTTCCGAACTGTTCTCAGTAATCTGGGCCGAAAAATTTCAACTGTTGTGTCACCTTTGAATTTCAGATTTACAACTAACTTATTCTTGTTTGCATTTCTGTCCATCTTATTGCCATGCACTCTGTCGCAGAGAATGTGTAAGGGTAGATGACAAGAGACTTGTTATAGGGACGTACATCTGGGATTTGGTATATCTATGTAGCGAAATTATGTACACCTTTTCTTCAAATCACCATTTGCACAGATCTTCCGTGTTGTGCTATTTCTGCCCTTCCTTCGTATTGTGTTTCTTTGTATTCCTTTTCACGTTCCTCTATATCTTTCCGCAACTCCGATTCATTTGCTCTCTCTAATGTCAAACCTATTTCCTTGCTATTATATGTTTTTATGCCGATGAACGTCTCTTTATATACTACTGATAAATCGTATCAGTAGCCCACACCTCGAATGTATCATGAATTATTTGATGCTTAAGTTCACTAATTAATCTTTATGATACTACAATAATTAAAAATATTAACAATATTCTTTATTCTCGTTTTAGAATGTTGCCGGTCCTAATTGTCGTGAATTGGCTAAATTGAAGTTACGCCTTTTAGCTTTAGACCGTCAAAATAAGGCTGTTTCCAGACGTGTTTCTGAATTAGTCCTAGAGAAACATCCACGTTATGAAGCTGAATTGAAAGGTGTGCTATCTCTACAATCGGATAATTGGGAAACTCTGTGTATGTGTCGACAAATCAGAAGGTAATTGAAGGTGCAGTATTATTTATTGACCAAAGGATGGCGTAGTACTTTAGGGAGTCTTTTTAATTGATAATGTCGTATTGACAGGGAAGAGATCGAGGTACAAACTTGTCTTACTCACCTTCTAATTGCAAATTTTATTACTTCACTACTTATTGATGCTTTTATGCTCTTTTTCTGATAAGGTGGTAGGTAGTTCAACGTATCGTGAAGAAGATTTCTATCTCTGATGGATGATTTTGGTGTAGTTGCGTTCTCTGAGCTGGACGGTTTACTTGTGTAGCTTTCATTATCTCCCTAAATAACATCCTCAGCGCATAATTCAACTTGAAGTGGGCTCTTCTGGTAACCTTGGTGAAGGTGGTTGGTTGTTCAAGGTTACCTGGAGAGATAACTAATAAACTCGCGGAGAATTAAAAAAAACTCACTTCGAAATGAATTATGCGCTGAGGATGTTGTTTATTAAGATAATGAAAACTTCGTAACTAAACAAGCCAGCTCACAGAACACAACTACACCAAACTTTCAACGTATCTCATCGGCCTTGGCTGACTGCTGACGGACTGACTGACTGACAGAAATGCAACATGGAGTCCAATAGAGCTGTGCTTTCTTTCTCAACTTACTTTACTTAATAGCGTTATGTAGATCAAGTTCACAGTTTGCAAATGACACCCAGTTTGAGGTGAAATTTTACTACAGTTTCCTTTGAAAGTCGATTACAAGATGTTTTTCACTTACTTGATACCATAAATGGCAGTCATGAGAGCAAGCAGTCGGTTATCGCCCCTCACACCAGCCAATAGTTCTTTTTGGATAGATTGAAGAGATCTGATCACAGGATTGCCATTTCTCCCGTACACTGTTCATTCCCAAATGAATTACACCACTGTTCGTTGTTGAAATCACCTTTGTGTATGACTGATGAGGTCTACTGGTTGTAGCGGTTAGTTATCGATTACTTATAACATTCAGTAGTGTACACTATTATTATCGTTCACTTGGGTTCTGAGTGGAACATAGGGCTTCAACAGCACATTTACACTTTGTCATCTTCTCTCCGGTCCTCTTCATTTGGCCTCATTATTACCCATGGTCTCTTATCTCCTCTTCCCCACACGATTTCCTCCATGTCAGCCTCGGACCCAAGCCGAACTCGTCGTTTATCTTTCGGGTCCCGCTCGAGGTTATGTCTGGCGCGCGATGTCGTTTGACGGTCTCCTCAATGTGTGACCGAACAATCTCCATTGTATCCTACATATTTGTTGAACGATACGTGCTTGTTCTGTCCGTTGCTTGCCAGAGTTTCTTGTTGCCAATTCTTTCTGACCAGCCATTTGATCTTCAGTATAGAACCAATGAATTTTGTTTTATTTTTGATTATAACTTGATTCCACACAGTATTTTTGGTACAAGTATGGAATTTTCAGCATGTGATATCGGTAGCCCAAATTTTGCAGTCCGACCAATTGATATCAGGTGTGCGTCGGTAGGGGATCGAACCCTGGACCATTTACATGGCCGGTGAGAGTCGTAACCGCTGTGACGCCGATGCACATGCAGCTATTGATAAAAGTCTGCAGTAGCCTGTTCAAAATGCTTTTTGCGATGGGCGTGCCATGGTTCTAATGCATATAGAAGAACTGACTGACTTCATTGACATTGGTTTTGAAAATCCGAATTTTGTTCTTTGTACTCAGTTCAAAATCTTCCAGAATGATTTCAGAGTAATGAAGGTCTTTCTCACCTTTCCCATTTTGATTTTGCCATCTTCATCCGTGCCGACTGCCTGTAGTTGAAAAGATACTTCTTGATTAAATGAAGGAAGTGACTTCTTTCAAATATCTGGAGTTCACAATGATTGGTTCTTGTTGCTGTTGACTGGTTTTTTCCGTCACTACCGTCCTCTCTTTGTCCGCTTTCAGTTCTGTCTTTGACGCTTCTTTTGTCAGTTTATTGGTTTTCGCGTGTAAGTCTTCGTGTTTGTGTGACACTGGACATAAGCTTTCCGTGAAATTGGTCCAACATACTTGTGTCTTCCCACTCCCCACAGTCTGCCACGTAATCCTGTCCACCCCCCATTCCACTCGATTTCTTGCCATCATTTCCAGCTGGCTCCATGACTTCCCACTAGGTTTTATTTTCTCTTCGTATAGTCTTCATGCCATCCTGAGACCCACCTCCAACTAGTCGCCTCCTATTCGGGTTCGGATTGAGGGCCTGGCATGTGATGATATCACTCCAATGGTCTGCGCAGTGTATGTCCAATGTACCTCCATTTTCTCTTGTACATTTTTTCGACTAGTTCGTTGCCAAAGTTTTTTGTCGCTTATCTTTTCTAGCCAGCCATCCAATCTATGGAGTCAACAGAAGCAGGCAGCTTCTGATGAAAGTCTTCAGTGTAGCTTGTTTGAAGTGCTACTGGTGATGTGTAAAGTTCTTGAACCATGTAGAAACTATGACTTGACACAAGTACCTGGAATTCCGATCTTGTTCCTCTTACGAAGTACTGCTGATCTCCTTATCGATTTCAGAGTAATAAACTTTTCTCATGCATATATATATGAGTATATTTTATATCATTGTGTTTTATCCTTTTTCTTTCTTCTATCAGTTCATTAAAACAAGCTGATGAATCCCTAGTCATATCTCGATTAATTGTATTACGTAATTATCGTAGACAAATAAGATTACAACAAACATTGAATGTTTTATTTCAATTACGGAATTTACAGAATAACGTTCATAAACTGGATACACTCATTAAGGTAAGTAACATTTAATTGCTCTGAAACAATTCCCACTTTTCTCTAATGCTTACAGCAAATGACTTCACCTGCTGTTCATTATTGAGTAGTCTTTGAGTCTTTTATTTTTGAAGTCTTGTTATTATTTTCAATTGGTGTATCATGTTCATTCATGTATATAATTCATGGTGATGTTGTGACACGGAGTTTGGCTATCGTTAACGATATATACTGTATATTGTGTTTTAAACGTGCGTAGATGAATTGGTTTTCTTTGGATAAGAATAAAAATCAATTTTATTGAGTTCTTGATTGTTTTGCTTGTTTATTTCTCCTTCTCGCCATCCTTTTCTGAGGGTTTTTTGTATGTGTGTTCACTGAATGCTTGAAGTATGTGATGAAATTACTATTATTGTCTCGATAGAGAAAGAAAGACCAGATTTGCAGTATAAAATGATAGCATCATTCTATTTCACAGATTCTCTTCAGCTGCAAACTACCTGAAATTACAATGGTTATAAATAATAACATTTCATAGGTAATAGAGAAAACACATCCCGAATATAAGTATTACAATTTTCAGTTTGAGTTGCTATCAATTTATATGCTATCAAGCTATGCGAAAAAGAGGTGGGGGGGATGAGAGAAGACAGAAAACAGAAAAATCTAATAAACACTGTTAGCTTGAACGTCAACATAGCGACTCAAAGAGGTTAAAGTTCATCAAATTGAAAACTTGCTTAGTGAGCTGAGCTCTCGAGTGTGTACGACCAATCAGTGTAATGAGAGTAATACAGTTACCAAGGGAGTGAGAGATTGACTACACTCTCTTTCTGTGCGCGTGTCTGAAACTTTTGGTTGCAATTGCTTCAGCAAATCGTAGTAAATTCTCTGTCCTTTGTGTGATAAGTATTTTGAAGGATTTGGAAATCTCTACAAAATGACCCATATCCACAAGGCGTCTGGTAATTACACTTTGCAAATATCTACTTCCTTTTAGGCATAATTTTCTTGGAATGTGCTCGGAAAACCGGATAGAAGCCCTTCTTTCTATCCTCCCAATTTACTTGCTGCCGCAGCTGCACTTAAATTTATAAATGCAGTTGGAGGTAACATCAGTAGGGTACTTATACAGTTTCGATTGGCTTATAGAGCATGTAGTGCTGTATAGTGTCACCAGCTTGGCTTTAGGGAAGGATTTCTTTATTTCTCCTTTCATCCTTTTATCAATCTTTTGTGATACTGCTTCTCCTTAGTATGGGAGGCAAATGAACACCGTTCTTTTCAACTGTTGGATACTTCGCTTTCTCATCTCTTTCAGTCCTGGACTTTAGGACAAATCTTTTTGGATACCCGTTTCCTTAAGTCATTTTTCAACAAAGCTGAATTCTTCTTCTGCCTTGTTAGGCGAACATAACTTCCTTGCTCTATCGTACAGTGTCTGTTACTATTATTATTATTACTGCGCTTTCTGTTGAATTGCTTTCACCTGTTCTTAGCCATGCTGCGTAGTATTATTTCACCCTTCCGGATAGCACATGCTTTAAAAGACCAGTATACCTAGCTCCACAGAAGCAGGTGAACTCGTACACATAAGCACGTGGAGTTAGTCAAGTGTAGGTTATTGGAAAGTGTATCGGTGGGCTCAGCGGTAGAACGCTCGTCCATCATGGCCGTGGTCCGGAGTTTGATTGCTAGCCGGCGCATAATTCTACCTCGCTTAACCGGTTCTAAAACCCACAAAGAAGGAAGGTTGGGAGTGAGGCTAGTAACTTCACCTCTTAAAAAAAGACACCACTGCTACTGAAACTTCAGAGCCATAACTTGAAGCCCAATGTTCTACTGGGAAAGTATAAGAATGATATGACATGCAAGTTACTGGAGAGTATTGGCTGACTGATAAATACTACCCTTATGAATGTAGATAATTTTTCAGGTGAATAGTATGTATAGTACAGTTAAGTACATGTGTGCCTGTGGCACAATGCCCGCCAAACACTCGTATGGTCTTAGGCTCCATTCCTGGCTGACTGATTAGCTTCATTGCTAGTCCGTTGTTTCATTTCACTGATTGTGTGGGGGCTAAGATACTGCCCGGGTACTCAGACCAAGGCAGGTAGTTGTCTTAAGGGACCACCCTCCGAGCCATTGACTACGAGTCTAATCTGCAAGGTAGTGGAGCAGCTGGTGAGCAATGCAGGTTCATACGCCATTTTCATCCATATGCCCCATAGTAACTGCTTTCAGTCTAACCGTTATCCAGATATCCTTCCTGAGATTGTAGGACCTGCAGAAACATAAGTTTCAGCCAGTGTAGCTTGTTGGATAACTGTGGTATTCAAGCCCGACCACCACGAGAAGGTACCAGTTGTCTTCCGGCAAAGCTTGCCTAGTTTGTTTATTGATAGTTTGCCCGGAAAAGACGGAAGGTTAGGTATGTGGCTAGCAACGCCATCACCCCGTGTAAACCATACCACCGCTAGTGAGACTTGAAATCTTGAAGCCTTACTTTCCTTTTAGAGCTCAGAGAGTGATAAAAAATATTGAGCAAATAATTGTAATTTAGGTGATTACAATTTCGTAGAACTTTCATTCACTTAAATAGCCTTCAATAGTTTATATGTGATTGAGATCCACTGTTTTATGGCATACCTATACTCGTCAGCAGCCTCTTTTGTACGTCGGTTTACTGAATTAGGATAATTTACTAGATAGATAGTAGTAATTGTTTTTCACGTCTTTTTTTAAACTGTGCGTATCTAGTGTTACATGTTCAATGTTTCATTGGCGACTTTAAGCTTATTGGTTCACAAATCTATAGTTAAGATACTTTGGTAAATGTAACTTTTGTTCTTTTAGATATGTAAGGCTTGTTAATGCCTTCCTTCTGTGCTAATTCACAGGTTTAATTAAACCAATGCTGGATTAGTAAAGAAAGAGAATCAATATAGTAGGTTTAATTCAGATATTATTTATTGTAAGGTAGAAAGTATCGGTTTATTAATTGGTTGGTTGGTTTGCTGTTATTTAGGAAGTTTTAGCAGTGGTTGAGTTCAACTCTAGTTAGAGATTTCATCACAATCCGATAGTATTTATAGAATCATTGGGAACCATGTGGCATTGGATATCTACTTTATCCCAATTTTCAACTATCCAGCAGAGTACACCCATTATCCTACAAGGGGTCGAATCAAGGACCTTCAGGTAACATGCTTACCCCTTTGACCATTAAGCCTGTAGATTAGAACCCGTTGTTGTATGATTTTTAACGTCTTTCAGCCGGTTGGAGATGTTGTGAGTGCGCGTTGATGAAGAGTTTCAAGCCAGGCCAAAACAGCTATCCAGCGCTTCTTGGTTTTCAATGACTGACTGACTAACTGATGTCAATTTATAACAGAATTTACGTTGAAATTAATCCGAATCCCCCGAACCCACAATTTAAGTTCTTGATTAGCTAGTTTACTACCGTTTGACTGGTGAATGTCTTCTTTAATTTCATAATTGTATATTCTTTTTCAATACTCCTCTTTTCGCGTCGATGTTTCAAAGGTAGTTTGCTGACCAGCGACCCGGGAGTTCCGTGTCCGACTCCTAAATCTTGCTTAGCTGGTGGTAGGCTAAGAAAAGAGCGAAGGTTGGGTACTTTGGTAACCAGCCACACCTTTTGAGAAACAACACAACTGCTAATGAAACTTCAAAGCCTGACGGCCTATTTTCCACATGTGAAGTCAGGGATGAAAACGGTTTTGGGTCATTAGATTTCTGTAATGAGGCAATGTTTTGCGTTGAGACAAAAACACTTGCTTTGCGTTAGGACTCATACTAGGTGGCCTAAGAATGACAAATAAGGCCTTCTACCAAGTGAGCTATAAGAACCAATCACTATTCCAAGTTTTAATTCGGTGTGAGTTACCGTAAGTTCCTCCCATATATATCTTGAGGCTGAGAAAGGCATAATCAGTCATTTGTTCATTATGGTTGTTGTGAACACATTAGGTGTTCAGTCAGGTCTTCTCATACTGACTCTAATCCCAATGAATTAGAGGCATCATAGGCTAGTGAAACTTAGTTAAATCATCGAGGGTAGTCTTAGTTTGGTACACTGAGGTGGTGTAACTGAATGGTGTTTAAAGTTTGGACAATAAGTTTGATCGCTTTGGGGTTCAAAGTGTGCAATTCTTAGGTAGTCAGACAAAAACAGATCATCTAGTGTTTTTCTGTCTCTCTTGTTCAATGTGATTAGATTTTGACTATAAAGGGAGACATCTGTCCGAGTGATGATAGTAAACGTAAATGACAGCAGGATCAGGGACCTGAGTGATTACAATGAAAGTGAGACTTAATTCTTGATTGGATCTCATAATTTTCTCGGTTGAATGCAAGACTACTGTTTCTAATCGTTTTATGAAGTTGTTTTCTAATCCTTACTTCTTCCTAGTATATGTGTAAAGCTACCTCGTATTGCTTAAACATCAATGTGTTAATGTGGCTTATTGGCTTAAACACTCTACTTCCAGTCAGTGTGTCGGATTGAATAACGTTCAACCCAGTTGTTTGTTTTTTATCACCAGCTGGAATACAATAAATGCGACTTACAACCTTGTGTGTCTGTGAATCGGGCGTAGGATGTTCGCCAACAACACAGGCAGTCTGTGGTTCATTTCCCAGCTGACGCACTTCTAAACGTTACCTAGCCAGTAGTAAATCCGGCAATGAGAAAAGGTGGGGCGTGAGGCTGGCAACCTCATCCCTGTAAAAACAACACTGCCGTTGCTGAAACTTCAGTGCTGCAACTTTTGTGGTGAGAGCTGTCTACTAGCCAAATTGGTAGACAGTAATTTACGTCAATATTTACGTTCCCAAGATTTGTCGTGAGAAACAACCAATCGGAAGACTGTGTTTGTTTGTTTGTTTATACATCCATAGTAATGTACATGAAAACATATATAAATATGCGTTGATTTCCTTAATAAATGATCTGTTGCCTGACTCTTGCCTTCTGTCGTTGCACTTTAAGTCCTGCGTTCCACTCAGAAGGAATGAAAAAGAAGCAACTCTGTGCATAAAAAGTCTGACTGAATTATAATAACAACAACCAACAGTATATTATCTCCCTAAAATATTTATAATATTTTTGTTAATTCTTACTGTCTGTTATTATTATATCATTTTCAGCAAGGTGAATTTTACGATGCTATTCGGTTATATCGTGAAAGCCTTGTCCTACTGGAGGATTTTCGTTCTTACCGATGCATCGAGTAAGTTTTTTTGTTTGCTTCACGGTAGTCTGTGAACTTAGGATATTTGATCCTGTAGGTTTTTGCAACTACTAAGCCTGATAATTTCATCCTCGATAATCCCGTAAGTGAAGCATTGAGTTTAAAAAGTGTTTGAAGGCTGCATGAATGCTGAAGTGTTGATTGCTGACGAAATCTCTTTAGCACGGATACAAAATGCCGTTTTGGGATTTACCACCTAACATCATCTCTAGAGTAGACAAGATGTCTGGCTCTTGATTAAAGGATGCGTGTACCGCACAGCAGCTCATTATGTTGTTTCTTGTAACTGTGAGACATGGATATTGAAAGTGGGTTAAATGAGAAGATTAGTTGTCTATAACCTCAGATGTTTGTGTTCTAAAATAATATATGGCGAGTAATACTGAGCTTAGGCGTAGGGCAGTGTCAAGGAAGGAAAATCAAGGGATGAGGTTGTGAATCTACATCGATTGAGATGGCTAGGACATGTCTTAGACATTCCCAGCCATCTTCCTAGACGAGCAGTGTTAGCTGACAGGGTTGAGTTGGGAAAGAGTTGTGGGTGGTTAAATCGAAACATAGCATCAATTCATGGAGTCTTTGATTGTTGGTTTGAGTCATGTACAGAGGTGTATGCCGCTTGCTAGGGGTCTTTGGGATACTAAGAACCAATGGATGGATAATATTGATAATATAGTTGAAATCATCTTCAATAGTGTAGATGCATTCACTCTGTGACTTCCCAGATCTATTGGATCCTCATGATTTCCCTTTTTTGCTATTCTTCCTCTAATACAATTCTGCTCATCATAGTTCTTTTGAATTCTTACTCGTTTATTCGCTACTTTTGTGTGCTATGTGGATTGTGGCGACTTTAACTGTTGCACTTTAGTGAAAAGTCCTACACTGAGACTCAGTCAGTCATCGTGCGTGCTCAAACAGAATTTTGATCGACTCTAATTATTATCAAATTTTAAGTGAATGTGGATTTTTCTGTGTCTGTTGTTTTATTAACGCTTCGACTTTGGATAGCTTGATTATTTTCAGTTGATTAGCGACGATGTAATTCACTGGCCTAAGCGCTCGAATTTTAGCCATTCGTTTCGGGGTTTGAGTCCCTCCGACTTTACCAGTCACAGCCAAGGCAACTGAGTAAGTAGCACCAGTTTTTAAGCATTATGTGTGGTGCAAAGCCTGACACGCTTTACCACCTGGTTAGTGAGAACGGTTTTCTTCTTCGAGCGTAAAGTAAAATGTGTTTTAACCACAAAATGACACCACTCAGTTTCCCAGTTGGCCTGAAGTTGGTGGAGTGCCGTTCGAGCGCAAGACCCACTGGCTGAAAGTAGAGTGCTTAAGCTAGTAAGTCACGTCTTCGCTCAAAAGCAGTGAAAGATTTTAATATTCTGATCACTGGTCGCGATTAAAAACTGAGGCGTACTGGACAGCTGTTTCATCCCAGTTTAGGACTCCTCATCAGTGCACATACATGATTGAACCCAGGACCTTCAGCTTGCGATGCGAAATCGTTGACCATCGACTCACTGTGACGGAATCCAGTGACCCATGAACTCCAACTAGAGTGACACGGTTGTTCAGTACTCCATTGTAATCAAAGATTCTGTAACTGATATCAATACGTGGTCAAACTTGAAACCAATCAAACTCTTACATACTAACACTCGAGAGATTCTCTTCATCGTTTTATTCACCATACTGCCACCCACCCCACCCCCGATGATCACAAATTTTTTGCTGTTGTTGTTATTGCTGCTGATGTTCTTTTTTTTTGTTTCATAATCCTCTTCCTTCAAAAAAGACCAATTCACGTCAAACTGAAAGCATCAGAACTACGTATTGATGAGAAATTGGATTCAGAGTTACAACGAAGCTGTGAACATTTCGATGATAAAGCATATTCAACTGTACAACGTGCTTTTGAGTAGGTCGCTGTGTTGGTCTTTCTTTAAATAATATTTTTCAAAAGTTATAAATATCTATAAAACACAAAATAATGGAGCAAAGAATATTCTTTTCGATAAATTCCTCTTCTAGGCTCTACAATTATATATATGTTTATATACATAGAATATTCTAGATTAGTAGTCAATAAGAATATTAGCGTTTTTTAAATAATATCGATTTGTAAAGTACGATCAATGCTATTGCAGTTCATTAAAGATGCTTAAATAATAATAATAATAATAATAATAATAATAATAATAATAAAGATATAACAGCGAATAGAATATCAACTAAAATTAGGGAAATTTCACAAAAATTCTGGATTATTCAAACCTGGATGACCAAGGTAATGATAATGACTGAACTAACTTCTTTTGGGTGCATAAATTAGGCTTGTTAATATGGATCCCAACAGCCTCAGCAATATTTAGAAGTCGAACTCTTAAAGCGAAATTGAGATTCGTAGGTATGCGGTAAATGACCCTGAAAGCATGATTAACGTCAATCTTATGTTCTGTCTCCACAAGATGCGCCAGAATAGCGCTGCGAATAGATTTTGTTTGACCTTTGCTTAACCAGGCAGGGTGATGTTCAGAAATTCGACGAGACACACGCCTAATTGTACGACCTATGTTATAAATGTGTATTTATTTAAATAATCAATAAAGGCAGAAGGATATGTTAAGACTGTAAGTATTTTAATGCTTCACTTGTGAAATGGTCGGATAGTGTTGGCTGGTTTCCCCAACCTAGAAAAACTAGTGTTATTCACCCACAGTACTTCAATAAAGGACAGTGTATGACTGGTTCCCCACCCCACCGAGGGCTGTCCTCACACTGAGAAGACATAGAAAACAGATTTGGATGGAAAGAGATTTTTCTCCAGGGAAAAGTCAAATGACCAGAAAACACAGTAGTAGTAGTAGTAGTAGTAGCGTGTGAATATAATTTTTTTTACATAACCTATAATCCTCAAGTTTATTAAGTAAGAAAATACTGTGTTTTGTCTGGTTAGTAATGCTCCATAACTGTGGGACACACTGGTATTTGGTAGCAGAGTTGTTGATTTGATGAAATGATATATTCGAGTTGCGAAATACAGAAACTTTACATTCAATCTGAAATTTTCGCTTACAAAGGTTACTCCTATTCTCGTTTCTTTGTCTTCCACCTCCTGTATTGTTCCACATGGACCTTCATTTCACCTCTTTACCACTTAATCTGTTGCTCCTCTATTCGAAATTCTCCTGGTTGATAACAAACGTGACATTATATTATTATTACACCGGGCTTCTAGTGGAATATAAGGCCATAGCAGCCCATTTGCATTTCATCCTGTTCCCTGCAGTTGTTAAGCTACCTCCATGATTGCCCATAAGCCTTCATTCCCTCTTCACGCGATCGATCCCATGTCACTCTCGAACCTAAGTCCAGCTCAGCGTTTGCCACTCGGTTTCCATTCGAGGTTATGCCTGGTGGGCAGTGTCAACCAACGGTCTCCTCAGTGTGTATTCGTTCCATCTCGGTTTGCTTCGGCATATTTGTCAGGCAATAGGTTTTTTGGTTGTTGGTTCGTTTCCAGAATTGCTTCCTACTAATCCTTCCTGACCGTCTGATCTTCAATATCCAGTCAAAGCATCTGTTCCGGAGACTCTTGGAAATTCTTTTCATCACGTGCGAATTCTCTGAACGATATGGAAGCACTGACTTAACGTTAGTGTTGAAAATGTGATTCTTATTGTTTATGTTACACAACATATTACTTATAAATCCTTATCAGTGGCACACATCTCAGTGCCGATGAGTGTTCGATGAAATAATCTTTGTTGGTATTAGATGGTTGGAGGCAATCGGCACGAAGCCTAGTCTTGGACCTAGGTTTCCTGCTAGTTGTCACTCACCAGTAGGCAAGACGTATCTGCAACCTCGAAGGAACTCATGTCCCTTCTGAGACTCGAACCCGCATCACCCGCGACTAGACATATTACACTAGTTACTAACTAGTGTTCAATCAAAAATATCCAATACAGTCCTACAGGAGGACAACTGCGAGCCTGAATGGCTTAGTGGTAACTTCTCTGACTACAGCACTGGGTGACGCGGGTTTGAATCTCAGAAGGGACATGAGTTCCTTCGACGTTGCAGATACGCCTTGCCGACTGGTGAGTGCCAACTAGCACGAAACCTAGGTCCTAGACTTCCTACCGATTGCCTTCAACCATCTAATATCATCAAATCAATGTGTACCGTGATGGTGAGTTAACTAGCGTGGTGTCCACATTGCAGACCTGACTGATAGAATTCAGTCTCCACCGAATATAGGACTAGACACATTACACTAGTTACTGACTAGTGTTCAATCAGAAATATTCCTTGCACTTAAATTTGTTTATTGGGTATATCATCCACAGAGTAAAGCAGTACTATTTTTACTACATGAAGTTTCGAACACAAATTATTGTTCATAATCATATCTTCAGTTATAACTCCACAACTTCGAAACTTGATTTTTTTTTTAATTTTAGTTTTTATCAAAAAATTTTTTGTCATTTACTGGGGAAATACAAAGCTTTGCATTTATAGTGAATATCGGCAACAGTAAAGAATAGGTACCACAGCTAAACGACCTTGAACCAGCCAATCAGATTCTTCTGGGGGAATAGTGGTATTTGCAGTATGAAAAGTGTTTTCATATGATATGTATGTGATAAGAATGAATTATAAAGGGTATATATCTCTAATATATTGCGAAAATTGATTCCAGTTTCTCACAGGAGTGTTGATGGACATATTAAACCAGTGACGATGCAAAAATTCATTTAAGCGACTGTATATTATATCATATTGGGAACCATTTACCATTCTAATACGTTTCTTTGATGAGCATAGAACCCTCCAGTAGAATTTGTATGAGTTCCACATATTATTATTATTCCCTTGGATTCCGACTGGAACATAGGGCTTAGTGCATATCCATTCCATCTGCTCTCGCAGATTCCGAGCACTTCTGCACCATATCTTCTCATTTCCATGGCTGCCTGGGTAGCCTTCCTAGTATCGTGCACTCTTATTTTTGCTTTCATCGAAAGAAGACACATCGGTTGGCTGACTGGCTTCACGAAGGTTTGTTTTCACCAGCCCGCTATGTGTCATTTTGCTTCTCCAATTCCAACGAAGAAGCAGTTTGTTTTCTGTATTTTTAATATTTTTTTATGTGTGTTGAAGTTTCTGCAGCAGTTTGAATGGTTTAGGGGTGTGGGGTCGCTGTCCCCAAGCCCGACGCTCCCTCTTTACCCGGGCTTGTGACCGGTTAGAAAACTAGTCAGCTAGTAAACTAGGTGAGGTTAAACATTATCAGAGCGAGGCGACTGCATGTAGCACACAGCTTTCTTCAAACCTTGCATACAACCATTAGGTTGCCTACTTTCCTATCGCCCTTGGTAGATCTGGCGACAAAAGTCACAAGAACACCATCAGACCACTAACAGTTTAGGTACCCCACTTGTAAGATTGACTAATTCAGAAGGAATAATTGACTTTATGATAAACATAACTTAATGACGATAACTGAGGAATGACCTTTCCACTCGTCTCTGAGAAGGGTAGTGTCTTGGACGACTAGTTGTTGTATTATTGGTATTAAAACATCGGCACTTACTTCTCTTTGGGATACATCCTGCTAACGCTTTTTTGAAGATTTGCAACGTACGGTTCCTGCACTCAAATATGGTTTGCTCTTCTCCGACCGCGATTCATTTTCGTCTAATAAATACTATTTCGGCAATATGAAGGACGACACCAATCCCTCCAAGTGTGCAAGTAATTCCATTGGTTTTTTGTGAGGCAATATCCCGACAGTGCTGATAACACTGCACTGTTGACATTTAAGTATTCTCTGTTCACGCAGCCGTAATAGATTCTAGTCGTTTCAGTAGCAAGCTGTAGGATATACACAGTATTTTAGTAAGGCAGCATTTCGATTTCGAGAAGGTATGTAAAAAATCACCGTAATCTACAACTTGCAAAATCTTACCGACTTCCTGCTGTGACAGTGGCATAACCTTCAATCCCGACCGATAGCTACTACCTTGACGTGGTGGTCGGGCTTGCATATCGCAATGACCCAACAAGCTACCCTGGCTGGAACTATTGTTCCTACAGGTCCTACCATGCTGGAAAGGTTGTTAGGATAGCGATTAGATTAACAGCAGTTACCGGCATTGTGTAAGAACTTTTTTTACACTGCTGGGGGTCTGTGGGCGAAGTCGTACTGCTGGGGAACAGGGATGTATCAGCAGTAAAGTGTCTCCTTCAGATGACTAGCATGCCAGCTATGCTGTCTCTCCACTCTGGAAGGGGGGGTTTGAAAAGGTCGACCCCCAAAATTGTACATCCCGACTTACCCTACGGTGGTCCGTAACCGGCGGTAAGTTAACTTATACGGAACCAATCCCAGAAACCAGTTCATACAGGCCGTGTGGGACCGGCTTCAAGCAGGCGTATCCTAGACTCTGTAGTCACGCAACACTAACCATCTTTCTGTTTCAGGTACCCGAAGACTCAATCAACTTCCACGATTTGGGCAGTCGGGAAGTATCACCCACCCACAAACTTCCAAAAGCACGCGAAGGCTTTCTGAGATAACCGTCAGTAGCCTGGAAATACTTCTGAATAGTTCTTATTCCGTCCGTTGTGGACAGAATTTATTCTGATTAAGTCTCACAGTGTTATACAGTCATATTTACTGATAACTACCTTTCTAGCATAACTGATTATTGCTCATAATCATATGAATTTACTTACAGAACTTTATGTGGTTCCACTATTTCTCTTTCTGTTGATTTGATTAGTAGTAGTGTAAAGAAGAAAAGACCGAGGAGGCTGAAACGTATTGTACATAGCTAAATTTGGTATACCATATTCTCAACCTGCCATTTGCACATCATTTGCCACATCCTTGACGAATTGGTCGAATATCGTCACATTCGATAGCTTCTTGGATTCTGCATCATATGGCAACATTATTCTCATGGTTCTCTTTTTTGATTGCTCTTTCCAGTGTGCCAAACATATTGTTACTTCGTTTCTGATATACTACTTATGTCGGATTATAAGTAGCACTCACCACAGTAGTATTTTCCTTATTTCTGGTATTGGCGATGGGTCATTCGTATTGCACGTGTTGGGTGTAGATTCGAACAACCAAGACTCAGTAATCAACCACCTCTCTCTCCACCTACCTATAATACTTTTTAGAATTTTAACCCTCTTCCACCCAAATGTGTGGTTGTGTATTAATGCATGCCAATGGAGGATGAACCTACCAAATGATTTCATAATAAAGTTCTGATTTTCTTTTTATAGTTGATATCATTATGCCACTATTCACTTTGTAAAGTGTATCTATTTTATAATACTTTATAATGTACAGACTCCTAGGAAGTACTCAAACAACATTTGCTCAACTTCAAATGCATTATGTAGCTGCTATCCAACGTAGATCCTTCAATTTAGTTCAAGTCCACTTGGAAACACCTTCATCGCAAATGATAGACATATCTGGAGATAATTCCGACCATTCATCATACTCTGATATGTGTCAGGTAAGCATAATATTGCTGATTCTCTCTCTTTCTCACTCTCTCTTTATACCTTATTCCATTCATTTTGCTGGTTTTGGGTCATAGTTAATGTGGTATTTCAGGCCATCGAGTGGAACCCGAAAGGGAAGCGGCGAGTGGGACGTCCAAGGGTGACATGGGGGAGATCGTGTGAACAGGAATTGAAACAGTATGGACTAACATGGATGCAAGTGAAAAGTACAGCAGAAGACAGAAACAAGTGGAGGCGTGTAGTTGAAGCCCTATGTTCCACTAGGAACCCAAGGGAACAATAATAATAATAATGTGATATTTCACCCTTCTTTCAAAGTAGTATATATATGTATATATATATATATATATATATATATATATATATGGAAATCGTTACTGGCTAACTGTTAGCTGGTACTCATAATTACTCTGAACAGTTGTATGATTAGACTGACAGATCCACTGTCCCCAATATATTGAAAAATAGTTGTTTAGTCCTTAGTGGGGAGAGAAGTTGGTTTTACACAAAGATTGTTTTGAGATAGAAAACGTCGGTGGATTTGTCCATATTTAAGATAGTTTAGAAATGCACCTGCTCAAATATGATTAAAGATTTTTTCATGAACCGATATTAGTTAGAGAATCGTTAAAAACTATGGAACATTCGATAGCTGTTTCGTCCCGTTTAAGACTCTTCAATAGAGTGCAACCCAAGACCTTTGTGGTACGCGATGAGTTTGTTGGTCAGATAAGCAATGGGTTTGTGTCCAGTGTCTCATAGCTTCCGACCTAATTTTATCATGATTTGAGCAAGTCTAGTGTAGAAAGTCATGCATACACTTGAATTAGGAGGAGACTCATATTTCGGCTAATGGTGCTATTTTTAACTCTTGCCTGTTTTTTCTTTCTTTATTTTTCATCGAAATCAATCGATTTCTAGCAACTTCCTCATTGGACTCTTTTGCCTTGTCTAAGAGCAATTTGTCAAAATATGTGGCAAATTCTGCTGTGTTATCATTGTACAATACAATGGCATAAGAATCGTGCTGCTGGTAAAAGTGTACGTTTCATTCTTATTTATGTATGCATATATATTAAACCTTTTTATTTTAGCATTATTTATCACACGTAATAGTGTCACTATCATTGCCCTCATTTCCACCTACCCTATGTATCTCCTAGTGGAGTTGATGATTCCGTAAGCAGCTGGGTAATATCCTTCTTGATACTTAGACGTTAGATGTTAAGATGCAGTGTGCTTCTCTTCTCAGGCACTTGTCATAGAATTCAAACTGTAGATTTAATGAACAGAACCAAGTTTAGAAGTTAATTGGTGGATGGTGACTAGCGGTGAAATCCAAGATGCTCATTTCGTCCTACTTGTGACCGATCACCTGTACCTGCAGTACATCACAAACTGGTAGAAGTGATAATTGATGGGCTGACCATTGAGTCGGGTTTCAGTGGTTGAGTGGTCTACATGCTTGCCTTGTAAAAGGAAGGTCCCGTAGGTGCGAAGTGTTCATGATATTCCAAAATAGGATGAAACAGCCACCCAGTACTCCTTTGTTTTCCAATGGTTCTCTAACTAATATCAATCCACGGGTAAACTTGTAACGTAGATCAGTTGGTCAAGCGATAACAATTACTACATCAAAGTTATTCGAGTAATCAAATTGGAAAAATGCCGAATCTTAAATTATTTATTATAATAGTTAGAACTAAGTTACTTAGAGGAGATTTTCAGCTACCAGGCTATGAATAACACTTCTTGTGTTAGAGTTGATAATGCTATCCAGCTGCTCAGATCGTTACAGAAAATGCATCACTTTAACTCGGAATCTGTCAGCCGACAATAAAGCATATCTCCAGCCATCATAAAAAGCATTGTCCAGTTTGTTTATTTCAAATATGAATTCCAACTAATAGGGAAAATTATGGCAAAATGAGCAAACAGACTGTTGTGGTTGGTTTTCTTTGGTTATTAAACTCTTAGACGACAGCATGGGAACCCTGTAACTCATTGGGAAGGCAGGTCCATTCAGAAATGCTCATCCTTGATTTGGCTAGTAGTCATCACCACTAGTCAAATCAAAGATACAAGATGTCAAATACAACAAAGTATATGAGTGCAGGTGGAAATGATACTGGAGTAAATTTGAGCTTTGAATAAATTAGAGTTTTGTCACAAAATAAAATAACATATTCATTTTGAGTTAACCTCTTTTATTGTAATTCTTCTTCTACTTTTTATTTCAGTCGAAAAGCTCCTCGAAATCCCCTCAGTTGAACTGTAATCCATTTTCCTCGGACACATCACTAATGAAGTCAAAACAGCATAAAGCTAAATTAAAAGATGGTGATACAGACAGTAATATTAGTAATAGTAATAACAATAATAATAATAATATGATCACTGGTGATAATGACTCTGCAATTGTTATCACTGATCGAAACAGTAGTCCTTTATCAAAATCGTCAAGTGTAACCAATGATGATCATGGGTGTGATCCTGAATTGGCTAGACAATGGCATGATTATGTTGCCTGTAAACTGGATTCTGGTCGATCACGTATCTGGTCGGAAATTATCTCACGTATTGAACCGATTCTTAGTGTTGTCGGTGTAGTTGCTAGAGATATGACATTTGATCAGATTGCATCATTGTTAACTACTGTAAATCAGTAAGTAGTATATACATGTTTGTTAAATTTGCTTTTGGTGTTTTTACTCGCTTGTAAATGTTTTTTTTCCTTCATACATTTTGCTTAGATTGTTACTGTAATTATGACTAACCTTGCCCTGATGAAGTACTATGCTATTTGATTCAATACAGTAGTTCAATTATGGATAAAATTATATTTTGATCAAGTCACACAGTAATATTTACTGATGATCACGTTTTGAGAACAATTTATTGTTACTCATAATCATATCAAGGTACTCACCTACCTTTCTTGCTTCGTTTATATACATGAGTAAAGAATGATTAGAAGCGTTGGTGTTAAATAATTGTCCTATAAAATTCATTAGGAAGATCAGAAAAGATCAAAAGCAAAATAAAAATATAAGGAGGAGACATCTGAGACTCTACGTAGGATTCTCAATAAAGCAGGAATTAGGGTGGCATTCAAACCTACAAACTCACTCAGGTAGGACAATCTCTGCGGGCTAAAGGGCCCAGTGGACCCAATTAGACAAAATAATATAATTTGCAAAATACCTTGCAATGACTGTGAGTTAAGTCAACTACATAGGTCGAACTAGTAGATCAGGAGTAGTGAGATTGTCAGAACATAAGAATTTAGTGGCTAAGGTTAGAATGATTGACCCCGCGAAGATAAGTAATCTAGAAAGGAACTCAGCAATCGCACTGAATGCATTAACACACAACCACACATTAGGGTAAGACAAAGTCAAAATTCTAAGTAGTAGTATAGGTAGGTGGAGAGAGAGGTGGTTGATTACTGAATCCTTGTTCATAGAATCTACACCCCCAAACACATGCAATAGGAATGACTCATCACACATGCCGGAAATATGGAAAATACTACTACCAATCAAGTCAAGCGATGCCAAATAATGGAATTATATAAACAAATTTGGAAATTTGTGTGAGTACCTTGATATGATTATGAGTCATAATCAATTGTGCTCGAAACGTGGTCGCATCAGTAAATATTACTGTATGACACTGTGTGACATGGTCAAAATAAAATTTTATCGATTATGGAGTTATACTCTACCACAGTACCCAAGTTTTATCCTTATATCAATAAGTATAGGGGTAATGAGTTCAGATCTAGCAAGCTTACCAGACATTCTGTGGGTGATAACATTGTCATGCATTCTTCATATAAAATAGGTTATCTCATACCTTCTCTGGTGGTCCAGCTTCTTAGGCTCAAACTGGTTACATTACAGTTTCTGTTATTTCCAAATTCCCATTTACGCATTCAGAAAAAACAAAAGATTGAGCGAAGAAATGTATTTTTTTTTTCAATTAGTTCCTCATCATCGGCTCTACACTAATGTATAGTTTTTTACATTAAAAATGTTACCATTCAAATGGTTATTTTAATTAATCAATTCTAGATATAGGGGGTGAGGGTTTAATTAAGAGGTTAAAGTGTAACAACAGAAGACAAGGGCAAGGCAACAGATCGTTTATTAAGTAAATCAAAGCATATTTATTTATTTTTGTGTACATTATTATAGATTAGTTAAGCAAACAAACACAGTCTTCTGATTGGTTGTTTCTCACTTAAAATCAATCTGTCATCTCTTCGTGACTGTTTCTTGAATGTCAGATCATCTATATGTTAACTGTATCCGCCTACGCAAAGTCTGCTGTGGTCGGTTTTTGAATCAGTCTTGTTCATATTTTCTCACGACCAATCTTGAGAACGTAAACATTGACATCAATTACTGTCTACCAATTTGGCTAGTAGACAGCCCTCACCACAAAAAGTCATCAAAACAAATAACTAATAGGTATTAGTAAAAAGACATCTAAGTTTTGAAAGAGGGGTGAAAATGAATTACGGAATTCAAGATAAGTTGATTCTTTGGCTTTAGCAACAAGTTATTACATAATCAAGAAATTTGTTAAATAATGATAACTAAGAAGAATAGGATGACTCAGGGGAGTTACGTAGAATAGAAGCTAGTTAGTAGAATTAGCTAGAATTGTAAAAATTAACAAAATCTAAAGATAGTTACAAGATGAGGGGAAAAAATTGTTTTTTTAAAAAAAAACAGTATATATTATGTAGTTGGCCATGGCAAAGAAAGGGGTTGTATAAATTTCTTTTTGAACTGACACACAGATTTGGCTTGTTCAGATGAATTCCTATCGGCTCTGCTGTATGTAAAAGTCGTACTCGTAGACCATGTTAGTGGTTGGGTGATATACGATTATAATTTCTACCGATGGCTTTTTCGTACACATAACTACCTCTCCTTCATAAGTACCTGTCTGTGGCCTAACACACTTGGTTTTCTTTGCGTTCTGGTAATTATGACATTTAAATGTCTTCACTAGATATCAAGCTAATCCAATTTCAAGATTGGTTACCGATTCATCAGGATGTACCGAGAAGTACTTACAAAATGTTGTTAAGTGTAAATCGACTTTGTTACTTTATGGAGTATCCCATTATCAGACACTTGGTATCTGTGAGGTTTTTTGTGATCTCATTAGTCTGTATCTATGGTTACAACAACTTACCTGTAGCTTCCGTCAGTAAGGTGTAAGAAACAATCGGCATTTAAGTCGTTAGAGCCAGCAGATATGATCTAAGTAAGACTATCTGTGACACATACTGACATGCAAGTCAACAGCTTTCGATGACGCTCAAAATTCTGGAACATTTTAAAATGCTCTTTAGCTGGTCTATAGAGTCATTGTTTCATTCCGTAAAGCCTAGTGCATCGTAGTAAGTTAACAACGCCGTGCCCTTAAACGACTGATGTGTTCCAATGCTCTGAAATGTTTTCTTCATCGTAAATTATTTTAGAAAAATAGATTTCCCGAGTATGTGTGAAAATCAGTAGAAGTATTAGGCTGTTATCACATATCACAGACTTTGCAAAATGCCTGAAAATCTAGTTGGGAAGAGAAGATTGTGTAAGTAGACCACGTGCTAGTTGTCCAAGTACTGTTACACATCTGATGAGACTGACAGCTGTTGTATCTTCAAGTGTTGATTTCGATTACGATGATGAATTGAGAACCATTTAAAACCAGGGTGTACTGGACAGCTGTTTCCTCCTTGTTTGAGGCTTTACTGTCTCGTGATTTAGGAATGAATCTTCCCTCTTTCATCAAAGATTTACGTGGTGAAGCACAATACAATGAGTCTTGTCTTATGATCACCGGGGTCCACCAAGTTGGGCGTAAGAACAGATATTCACCGAGGACATTAACTGGTGGTCACGCTATATACGGCGAATTGGAAGCAGTTAGAATCCATTGGTCATTTAGCTCCGCCCCAATGTTTGAATGGTCAACGGGTTGGCTTAATAACTTCAATGTCTTGGGTTCGGTGCCGTATGATGTTGTAGGTGAGTACCGTTGAGGAGTTCCGGACTAGGAGGAAACAGCTGTCAAGTATTCCTTGGTTCTCATTGGTCCAATGGTTCTCGAACTGAAGTCAGGTCGTGGTCAAGGCTATAGCATCCTTTTGATGTGGTGATCGATGTTTAATCTAGAAATGAACTAATCAGTTGTTTCATAGATCAGTAGACAGACAACCACTGGATTATCTTTTCTGACACCTACGTCATTGGCCCATCTTTATATTCTGTGCTCCCTATATGTATATCATTGTTTCCTTTCATAAATATACTTTTCCTCTCACTTTGTAGTGTGTTTTCGCTTAAGCAGTGGGGTCGGAAATCAGGTAGCTGTTCTGTTACGTTGTTAGCTTAGACAAGCGATTTGGTGATCACCGAATTTGTCACCAGCTTGGCACCACTATACAACCCAAAATTTTGGAAAATATAAAACCCTTAACATTACCCCAGGATTTAATCCATTGGACAAGATTTCTTTATGAAATATGACTTTGACTTTCAAAGTTCATAGTACTTTCTTGAGATATTGACAAGAATCCGTGGTAGTATTCTCTCTTTGGGGTCAACCATTATAAATGTAATGGTCTCACCGTCGAAGATTTTCAAAGTATAATTATGTATCTATAGAATTTTCATCTAAAATAAATAATTATTTGATGATAGTTAGCAGTGAAATCAAAGATATGCCCTATATTACTTTACTAACCTGATACTTTATTCTTTTGGTGAATGGAAATTACACTACCGGAATGAAGTGTTTTTAATGGAACACCATTACTCCATTGAGTTTCATGTATAAATTTGGCTGGATGGTATATGAGCTTGCCTTGTAGTAAGAAGGTCCTCGGTTCGAACCCCAGTGGGTGCGTGCTTCCCACGCTTCTCAAACTAGAATGTGTTAATTGTTTTGAACGTCTGTAATAAAGATGATTATAATGACAGTGAAGATAATGACAATAAGGTCAATGATAACATAAGTACAGGGACTTTATGCAGATGGCGATGAAGGTAGTAATGTATATGTGTATATGTAGACAATTCAATAAATAAATTAGGTCAGTTCTCAAAGGTACGTAATGCTATAGGTGTAGTAGAATAAATAATCAGAGTTTAAATGAATATCATAAAAGTACGGAGGAAATGGAAAATAAGAAAGGGTGAGAGGGTTTTAATTAGACTTTACCTAGGCCTAAGGAGATACATTGGTAGAACAAACTTCTTTTGTGTGCAAAGACTACCATTGTCCTCTCGAGTTCTCATAGCTTCGGCTATGTGTAAAAGGCAGGTTCGAATTCCGTTCGAGAGCTTCAATGGAATGCGATAGATAACTTTGAAGGTGCTTCTTCTGTCCACTTGGTGACCGCGATCAACCAGACGAGTCAAAATAGAACTTCTCATAGATTTTATTTAGCATTTTCCTAACGATGAAGGAAGATGCTTATTAACACGTTTGTTGAGCTATCTAGTTGTCCGTCGTATGTAGCTTTCTCCTCAAGGAGCAGCTAAAGCTATGTAAATTAGAATAAAGTGTGAAGAAGATCTAATTGAAAACAATATTGTTCGTTTATATGTCTTCTTCTAAATGCGTATCGTTGTTAACACCTGCTAGCCTGCCTCACGCAAATGACAGCAAAATGTGAAAACTCTACGGAATATTTAGGCATCTATTGACTAATTTACTGTAACAGTAGAGATAGGTCTATTCAAGAGAGTGAACACACATAAAACTACTGCAATGCTTTCCACGTGAATGAATAAAGTTATAATGTTTTATTACTTTTTTGTATTTTCTTTCCTTTCTTTTGCTAGTTTTGTACATATTGGTGAAGAGTTCTGTGAATGCCCAGCCAACGAATTATTAGAAGCTTTAAGAATATCAATACAAAAGTATTTCAAAGATTTCCATAGGTAAATCAATAAATCTGATAAGTCAGTTAATTCTTTTTGTCTTTTTCTTTTCTGTGTCCATTACAAGAGCCTTTTTATTGATTCTTTTTTTCCTGTTACACCCGTTTTTATCGATTTTGTGTCTTCTTGTGTACTATTTTTTTTTCATTAACAAGACTATTAAATGTCATGTGGTCTTGACTGATTTAATTTTAGGGATGAAATTTACTCGCCCTTTTAGATATTTTCATGAGAAATTCATTTTTTTCAGTTACTTTTCACAAGGCTTAAAAGATGACCAGGTTTTCTTGGTTTTTTTAACTCTTTCTAAATGTGGTTATCAGTTAAGTTTTTTATTAGGAAAATAAGTTTGATTTTGAACACTATTATTGGGGCGTGGGTGGGGTTCCTAGTACAATACTCGTCCCAGGTATCAGCTAGGTGGATCTTTCCTGATGAATACTTATTCTGCATTCCATGGAATACGAAATGACTGGTAAGACATCTGGTCCCTTTGGCCGAGGTTATCGTACACCCCAATTCGGCATGAGTTGGAAATCATACGTTATTATATTCTAGTCAGTTGATTGACTGATTGCTTGATTGATAACCTTCTGGTCGATGTAAGTTTAACAGTCCAGAGGTAGATCACTTGCACTTTCAGAAATAGCATCAGTAGTACAGCGGTACGTATTCCGGCGTTCGGTTCCTGGCTGATGTAATCCTAAAACTCTTTTAGCCGCTAGTAAATTCAATAAAGAGGGAAGGTTAGGCGTGAGACTAGCAACGTCACTCCGTAAAACTTACACTGCTGCTGCTACTACTGGAACTTCAGAGCTGAAGCTTGAAAGCCTATTTACCATTGGGAACGTAAAGAAATAATAAAAATGCGATAAGATTATCAGAGAAAACAACTGTTCAGTTCTCTAGATGTTGTTAATTCATGGAAATCACTTCTCCATGAACAAAAGAAGATTCAGTAGTGAGGAAAACTTTCTTTCCGACGACTCATCTTCAAGAGCTGCACAATCGTATTTATATTTAACGAAGAGTGCATAAAACCAATGAGATACTGTGACAAGGTGTAACCTTAAAGACACATTTGATTTCCGTAAATCAGTAAAAGGTGTTAGTCTGTCTGAACAATAAACGCTCTTTATAGATGTTACACTTCCCTGTTTACAAGCGTCTCCTTAACTAAGAAAATAAATTTCATATGTGACGACATCGAATCCAACAACTTAGGAATTCTTCCTACCAACTACTTGAACGAATTGCTTCTTAGGTGTACCTTTAACGAATCATTCTACATATGGAAAATGGTGTGGTTTATGGGGTCTCCTCTAGGTCCACTCTCAGTTGACTGTTTCATGACGAGTCTTGAAGGCAAAGTCTTCTCCATTATTTCAAGTCAACTGGTTAGTTCCAATTGCTTTGACTCACTTAACTCTTTGAGTTGAACTTGTCTAAATAAGGGAGTGTCAATGACCGAAGAGGTGAACTATCGTTTAGCATATAAATCAATTCCATCTATTATGCACAATTTTCATTTCTGGATCACTGATTGTTAATATGCTGTGGACTACTGTTAGACAATCGTAACTTATCTATATTTGGTTACACCAGTTGTCAGTAACTTTATGAATTAGTACTCTGTTTTCATCTGGTCACCTCTTTTTTTCATCCCAGTGCGTTCTGGGTGGAACATGGAGCTTCAAGTGTGTGAGCTTTCAAGTTTCAGTAGCCGTAGTGTCATATTTTACTGGTTATCATTGCTAACCTCACGGTTAACCTTCCCCACTTTTTTTACCAGTCTTGCTACTGGCTACCGGGTCGAAACTGGACATTGTATGCGGTTAAAGCACTGACTCACTAGTCACCTGTTACTGTTTTTCAACTTAATACTACTTCAATTTAATATTATTCATCGAGGAATAAGGCGGTTTGACATGCCTAGCATATATCCTAGGTACCACAGTTGATGAATCGACGTTATGCCTCTGATTTCTCATGTTGTCCCAGTTACATTGAGCAACTGAACGAAGTAAAACCTTTCAGCAATCATGTCTGAGAGCCAAAAAACTAGGGAAAGCAAACATTCACACAGCATATACCTTCTTTGATATGTATCCGGATATCAAAGCAGTGTCAAGGATGACACAAGTGTTGGCGAATGTCATTAAGGCTTTCTGTATCCTCTCTGAGACTTTCTCATCAAGCAGTCTATTAGAATTCCTACAACTTTTCAAATAAGTATTTTGACGTCAGTAAGCGTATGTGTGATTTGAATTCTTTCGAACAGTAAAAGTTCAATAAGCAGATCTTTTTTGGAACCCTTTTATTTAATAAGCCTGCATAGTTGTTTGACGTGGACTGAATTCTATCAGTCAAGTTTGCAATGTGGCCACCATGCCACTAAGTGGCTCGCCATCATAATATACTTTGAACTGTTCTTATTAGATAGTTGGAGGCAATTGTCAGGAAGCCTTGCCAGATCTAGGTTTCGTGCTTGCATCAAACAAAGGACTAAATGCCTGTTACTACTTACTGACTAGTGTCCAATCAAAGTATCCAATACGGTCCTCCAGGAGGTTTATCGCAAGCCCAAACAGCTCAGTGTTAACCTCTCTGACTGCAACACTGGGTGACACACGCGAATCTCACTAGGGACATGACATCCCTCAAGATTGCAGGTATGCTTTGCTGACGAGTGGCACCAAGCATGAAACCTAGGTCGAAAGATTCCTGCCGACAGCCTTCAACCAAGTAATAATAAGTATTATCTGTGGCTGTTACCTTTAACGTATATTTTACTTTCATCGATTGCCATTACTCTACTTCTTCGTTGCAAGGACCTTTAGTCGTCTTCGGCTTAGGCAGTTACCATTCTTGTCCTATATTTTACAGCCCGCTGCAATTATTATCTCTCCAGTGCTGGTTTTAAGTGATGCTAGAGACACTCACTAGCTTTTACTAACCATTGTCTGTAGGATATCAACTGTGTTCACTGTTGGCTTTAGCTGGAGAGGTTACTGCTTTCACAAGGGTGCAGAAACCCACGATGTTTATTTATATTACATCATGCCTTTATTTTGTCACAAGATATCATACTGGGTCGTCTGTTACTTACAAAAGCTTAATTCAATTCTCTAATATGTAGATCATTATTTTCTTATTTATTTGTTTGTTGCAAACTGACAATCTGTACTGCACACATTGAACTTAAACGTTTTGCTCATCACGTCGTTTATATGTGCGTTCAAGTATTGATTTGTTCAAGTTATCAATATGTCATCTGTATATTTAAACATTCACAATTAAAATAATAAAATAATAGTAGTAGTAGTAGAAGTTTGAAAATCATGTTCAGTCTGAATATGTATATATATACATATAAGATTATTCTGCATTTGTTACCTGTCCTGTAAAAATCTATTCTCTCCACCAGTCTGTTCTTGTTTTCGTACTATTATTTTCATCTGGTTTCCATTTTTTATAATTGTCGTTTGTTTATCTGCTCACCAGTTAATTATAAGCGCGTCTTTTCAATTTGCATAAGTTGTGTGTATGTGTATTTGTGGAACATATGTTTATGTCTCTATTCATTCATTGTATTGTACTTATTTTTAGTTTATGTTTCGTTTATCCTGTCGTTTTCTCAAAATAAGTTTAACCAATCATATTGTTGAATAGGTAGGTATAAGGTCGTGTGAAAACTTGTTGAAGATTAGTACTAAATATTATTATTATTATTATTATTACCTTCAATTGTTGATGTGACAAAAAAAAACATCATACGCCTGTAGCGATGCTTATTTGACCGCCTATCATGATTTAGAGCATTAGAGTAATGGTACAATTGCGAAATAATGCCATCGGTTGTTTACTGTTTCCTTTTCTCCTGCGAATCACAGGTATCCATGCATTGGATATTGAGCAGGCAGGTGATTGGCTAATAATGATTAACGAACAGCCTTGTTTAATTGAATTTTAGATTTTCCCGTCTATTGATTGGCCTCAGGTTGACATGTCAGCTTCTTGTGCAGATGCTTCGACGATGTCTGGACATGTAATTATAATTTAATTGGAGAAGGCAGTCACATCCAGCTGACGAGTCCCAAACAAGACGAAATGTGCATCCTGGATTCCACTGCTAGTCACCATACACCAATTGAACAGCCTTGTTGTTGTCTTAGGGATAAAATGACATAATTTGTTATTTGGAGGGTTGTAAGCAAGCGGTAGGGAGCCTGAATAGCTAGCTCAGTGGTAACGTCTCTGATTGTACCACTAGGTGACTAGGGTTTGAATATCAGCAGGGGCATGAGTCCTTTCAACACTGTAGATAGATCTTGCTGACAGAGGCCAACAAACACGAAATTTAGGTCAGAGGATTCCTGCCGATTGCCTCCAACCACCTAACAACATTTCAGAGTGCACCGCGATAGTGTGCCAGCTAGCTTCGTGGTCTCATTTCAAACTTCACTGATAGAATTCAGTTTTCGCAGCAAACAAAGAGCTAGACGTTGACAGTCCCCTACTTTGTTTATACACGAGATAAGAAGTAGTCACCAGGGTGTAAATCATTTACAACCATATTTTTAACTATGCAAACTTTTACTTCATTATTGTTATCATTCTGTCGGGTTCCAAGTAGAATAAAGAGCTTCAGCAATATATGTCACCATTCTATTCCATTCTCAGAATTCTGTTTCACCTGGCTCCATGATTACTGATAAGTTTTCGGTGCCTCCTCACACAATCTTCTCCGTGGAACCATAGGACCATGTGCCCAACTCGTTGTTGCCCAAACGGGGGATTCACTCAAGAACCAGTCTAATGTGTGATGTCACTCCACGTTCGTCTCAGCATTTATCCAATCCATCTCTGCTTTCTTTTGCATTTTTATTGGGAGATAGATTGTTGATTGTTTCGTCTCCAGAGTACCCTGTTGCTAATCCTTTCTAGCCATCTGATCATCAGTATCGAGCCAGTGAAGTCAGCTGTGTACAGTCACCTAT